TAAATTCCCAAATAATCCAGAAACCCTAGGTGAGTCGATAGATCAGAAGTTCCGCCACCGCAAGCCTGTGTAGCCACGAAAAAACAATCTAGACCCCGTTCCGGCACCCTGCCAGAGGAGGAAATCATCACCGGTAGCCATCTTCATCATCCCGACGACCACCATGATGAGGAGGGAGTAGTCCACCCTCGGGGCTGAGGGTTTGTACCAGTAGCTATGATTTAATCTCTCTCTCTCTCTCTCTTTCTCGTGTAGGCATGTATTCCATAAATAGTCATACTTGCTGATGGAAAAGAACTTGCATGACTTCTTTTGTCCTACCCTCCCGTGGCAGCGGGGTCCATAAGGAAACTAATGGATATTAAGGCCTCCTTTTAATAGAGAACCTGAACAAGGCATTAACGCATACTGAATACATGAACTTCTCACACTACGGTCATCACCGGAAAGTATCCCAATTGTTGTCACCTTGGGGATTACGGATCATAACACATAATAGGTGCATATAACTTGCAAGATCGAATCAAGAACATAGATATAATGGTGAAAACATAAACGGTTCAGATATGAAATCATGTCACTCAGGCCCTAGTGACAAGCATTAAGCATAGCAAAGTCATATCAACATCAATCTCAGAACATAGTGGATACTAGGGATCAAGCCCTAACAAAACTAACTCGATTACATGATGAATCTCATCCAACCCATCACCGTCCAGCAAGTCTATGAGGAATTACTCACTCCTGGCGGTGAGCATCATGAAATTGGTGATGGATGATGGTTGATGATGACGAAGACGGAAGATCCCCCTCTCTAGAGCCCCGAACGGACTTCAGATTTGGCCTCCCGATGAAGAACAGAAGGTGGCGGTGGCTCCATATTGTAAAACGCGATGAAACTTCCTCTCTTATTTTTTTCTCAAAAAATAGGATTTTATAGAGTTGGAATTAGGGTCAACAGAGCCTCATGGGCCCCACTACCCACCAGGGCGCGCCAGAGGGGGGTGGCGCGCCCTGGTACCTAGTGGGCAGCTGCCCCCCCCATCAAGTGGTATTGGTTCCAGTAATTCTTATTTTATTCCAAAATAATTCTCCAAAAAAATTCGTTCAATTCCGAGAATTTTTATTTCTGCACAAAAAACAACACCATGATAGTTTTGCTGAAAACATCGTCAGTTCGTGTTAGTTTCATTCAAATCATGCAAATTAGAGTCGAAAACAAGAGCAAAAACTTTAGAAAAAGTAGATAGATGGAGACGTATCATGAACCATGATACCAAGTTCTTCATTAGAAACATCCTTTAACTTCTCACTTGAAGTGTTTGGAGTGTCACTAGTGGCCTTGTAAGTACTATTACTCGATTGACAATCAAGTTCCTCTTTGCCCTTCAGTATCATCTCATGTACCACGATCCTTTCAATCACTTTAGTAGCTTTAAGATCTTTGTAAATCAGGCATTATTTGGATCAATGTGCACATGGTCTACTGGCTTCCTCCGACGGTACCAGGATGGCAACAATAGTTTTTTTTTGAGGGAAACAGCAGGACTCTGCTGCGTATTTTTATTATTTTTAAAATATATATAGTACAAAGAATAAGGTCTGAAAAAATAAAAAAAATAGTATACATCGAAGATACAAACAAAACTAAGGAAAGAAAGAAGAGACAGTAAACAACAAATACAACAACAGCATAGCAAGTTATCTAAAGGATTTGATCCAAGCCTCAAATCCACTGTATTCCTTCCTCTTGACTCTGTAGATGATCCATTTGAGTTCTTCTTTTAGCTTCTTTCTGCATTTGTATATGCTTGGCTGAATGTGTTGGAATATGTGATCATTCCTAGTTGTCCAGATTGCCCAGCAGGTTAGGATGATGATCTCCATCGCATATGGTACACTCAGCAGTTGCTTTAGGTTGCTAATTTCCTCCTGAATGCCTGTATGTGCTGGCTGCCAGTTGGTGCAAATGTAGCTCCAGCATAATTGTGCAAATTGACAATGAAAGAAAAGGTGATCCCTTGTCTCCAGGGCTTGCAGGTTGCACATGACACAAGTGTAATCCTGCAAAAAGAAACCTTTTCTCTGCAAAAGGGCCCCGGTGTTAATCCTGTCATTGAGCAATAACCAAAAGAAAATCTTGTGCTTAAGTTGGCAACAGGTTTTCCATAGCCACTTGATTGCTGGTATGATTTCTGGGGCAATGGTCAAAGTGGCATAGGTTGTGGATACCTTGTATGTTACCTGTCCAGGTGTGAATTGCCAAATGTCGTGATCTGCACGCCCAGCTACCCCTGAGAGGGCGTCCCCTTGTTCAACGACTCAATGCTTATGTGAACATATATACAGTGATACAATTCTACAAAAATGGCAAAAATTTATCATCCAACAAATCGAAATACCAGAATCCACGCAGCACAGAATCAAACCATTAGTTTCATCGCAAAAAAGAAAAAAGGTTTGTTTAGGACACATCTAGATGTTCTCTAGTTATTGCACATCTAAGTGACACAATCAAAGATTAAAAAAATAAAAAATCAATGACATAGACTTACTACCTCTGTTTCTTAATATATGACGTTTTGGCAGCTTAATTGAACTACTAAAACATCTTATATTTAGGAACGGCGGGAGTAGATGATACTTATGGCTATGGTTTAGCAAAACTGAAGAAAATAATAATCAACGAACGAATGAGTAGACCGGTGCGTCACACTCACTAAATTGGTACTCCCTCCGTAAAGAAATATAAAATGTTTAGATCATTATGATCTAAACTCTCTTATATTTCTTTAGGGCATGTACAATGCGTAGCCTCATGGTGATGCCCCATGTTCCATGTAGTTTTGGATGTCAGGGAATGTAGGTTTGGATAGGGAAGCAAGAGCCTTTGCAAGAGGCGGGTGCTTGGGGAGAAAAAATATGGTCCGGTATAAAAAGCTGAAAAAGTTAAAATGAAGAGTATGGATGCATGTGTAGTAAGGGTCTACTTTCTATTCTATGATGAGGTCCACTAGCAGTAGCTTGTGTTGAAGAGAAAAAAATCAATATAGATGCCTCAAGTTACTTTTTTTCATGAGACATCTGTATCCATATGCCACCATTGTATATGCCCTTAGAGCATCTACAACCGGACTTGGCAAATCTGGGCCCTCGAACGCCCGCGGACGCATCCGCGGATAGTGACCGAGCACTCCTCAAATCGCGTCATCCACATCCGTGTCTCTCATATCTCAACCCCTATATCCATACTATATCATGCAACATCGATGAAAGTACGTACATCAGCTCCGGACATAGAAATAGCACAATAGTTCACCAAAAGATCCACCAAAGTTCAAATAAACGAAGAAGAATGTTATACTACATCTAAAACTTGAAATTAAAATCAACTTCACCACTTCCGAGCCGGCCCATTCCCCTTATGGTCGCCGGCGTAGTTGTACCCGTCGGCGGCTGGTGGAGAATCGTCCGATTCGTCGGAGGAGGAGCCATGGTCGTCATCAGACGAGCAATCGACGATGACGAGGCCCTTGATGTGTTGGACGACCCGGTCTTGCTGGCGCCTGAGGTTGGCCAGCCGAGCCGCCTCCTTTGCCTTCTCCAATGCCTCTTGCTCGGACTGCTCAATGGCAAGTCGAAGAGCCTTGGCGTTCTTTCGGCGGAGCCGCCTAGCGTCCGTCTCCCCCGTCGTAAGCGACCGACAGTAGACCCACGCGAGGAGTCGTTGGTCCTCGTCGAGCTCCGCCGGTAACCCACGCCGGCGGAGGACAGGGTTATCCACAGCCTCCCTCTCCCTTGCCCGATGCCTCTCGCGGTGGGCGACGCGCACCTCCGACTCCAGCGTGCGCGTTCGGGCCGGCGGGGCGGGCACAAGCACCTACCGCTGCCCACGAGGGGGAGCAGCTGCCGGCGGGGCGAGGGGACGGCGTGGGGAAGCAGCAGCCGGCAGGGCGAGGGGGCGGCGTGGGGAAGCAGCAGCCGGCGGGGCGAGGAGACGACATAGGGGAGGTGCCGATTGCGCTGACCGTTTGTCGGAGCTGCCCATGGGCCGGGAGGGGCCAGCAACGACATCCGAGATGCGCCGACGGGGAAGCTGCGGCTACGGCGAGGCTGCAGATTCGGAGCTGCTCCCGTGTCCACCTTGGACCGCTCCAAGGCGATGCGGAGGCCAAGCTCATACTCCAAATCCACCTCGTCATGGGAGCGGCTGCCGAAGCTCGACATTGCGCCGGATTCGGTTGGAATCGCAAAGGGAATAGGAGAGGACGGAGCGAGAGAGGAGAGTGAGTGAGCTACGGTTTCAGACCGACGAGGCCGATGGGTTTTTTTATGGGACATCCGTGAGGTCAGTGGTAGGCTGGGCTTGTCAGGCGAACGCTCCCGACATGCCAGGGCCACCTCATATTCGCCCCATATTTGAACTGAATATGGGGGATGCCGGTCAGTTTGGGTGTTTGAGGTTCGTATGAGGCGTTTGTCTAGATCGAAAAAAACATGACCGAACATTGACCGGACAGCTCGCCCAGACGTATGAAACGGTTTTAAGAAGTCCGGCCGTGGATGCTCTTACAAAGGAAATACTACGTATAGGAGACAACACCGAATTTCTGAGGCTCGCATCGGCATCGCAGCCTTTGACCCCCGTGACAGGTGGAAATCATTCGAGTCCGGCCTGGCTCGGCCGTTGTTGATCTCGCCGGCCGGCTGCGGTCGTGCTCGTGCCGCCCCCGCTTCGGCAGAGTAAAAATCAGCTGAGCGAGTGTAGACCGCGGTCGGTGGTGCTCGTGCCCACTTCGCCCTCCACTCTCCTCTCCCCCCTCTACAACCGCCCCACCACACCACACGGCCGCCTTTTCCTCCGCGTAGCCTTCCCACCATATTCCAGTTCGGCAAGCTCGCCAGTCACCAAGCTCCTCCTCCTCCACAGGAAAGCAACAGCGCAGCGCGGCTTCACTGGTTTCGCCCTCAATTCGAGAGCTAGTCTTGGAAGGCCTTCCATGGCTCAGCCGTCGCTGCTCCTCGGCTCTCCGGCATCGATTGTCCTCCTTATCACCTTCTTCCAAGGTATCGATCCACCCGACAGTTCATCCACTAGTGCTTGTGGAAGTGGTATTCTCGTTGGATTGGTCCTGATTTGGAGGCACGCGGTAGAGCTGCGAGCTTGGTTTTCGATTTGGTGAGCTGAGTGTTCGGATTTGTGTATTTTTTTCTGCGGCGCACAGGACCGGTAGTGAGCGCCATCACGTTCACCTTCGCCAACCGGTGCACGGACACGGTGTGGCCCGGGTTGCTCTCGGGCTCCACCTCGCCGCCGCTGGAGACCACCGGCTTCGCGCTCTCGCCGGGCCAGTCGCGCTCAATCTACGGGCCGACCGGGTGGTCGGGCCGCTTCTGGGCGCGCTCTGGCTGTAATTTCAACGGCGGCAAGGGCACCTGCGTCACGGGGGACTGCGGCTCCGGCGAGATAGAGTGCCGCGGCGCCGGGGCCACCCCGCCCGCCACGCTCGCGGAGTTCACCCTCGACGGCGACGGCGGGAAGGACTTCTATGACGTCAGCCTCGTCGACGGCTACAACTTGCCCATGCTCGTGCAGCCGTCCGTGCCTGGGTGCCCCGACACCGGGTGCCTCGTCGACCTCAACGAGCGCTGCCCCTCCGAGCTCCGCTCCGGCGGCGGCCTCGCCTGCCGCAGCGCCTGCGAGGCCTTCGGCAAGCCCGAGTTCTGCTGCAACGGCGCCTACGGGAACCCTGACACGTGCCACCCCTCCCAGTACTCGCAGCTCTTCAAGTCGGCGTGCCCCAAGTCCTACAGCTACGCCTACGACGACGCCACCTCCACCTTCACCTGCAACCACACCGATTACACCATTACCTTCTGCCCGCAGTCCAATCCTTACAGGTACTACCTTCCTCTGAATAGTTTCCGATGCTATGACAGTACGATCTAGTTGAAATCACAGTGTTGCAGATCTGAATGACTGAATCTGATTCAACTCAACAATGATATTTTCTCTGGGCTAGAAAATATAATGAGATTTTGATTCGGAATGGGGAATGGGGAAAGAAGAGAAAGTGACAAAGTTAGGCTTTGAGCAAGGAAAAGAAGCTTTGATTGATTGAGTTGTTCTTTCTTTCGCCTTTGTTCCATCCCCATCCCCACCTTGCATGTGGGGTCTTGGCGAGAAAGTTGCAATGACCTTTGAGTCTCTAATTAGATCAATCACCTTTGACGCTTCGCAGTGGCAAACCGAACAAGCACGCATTGCGGAGGCCGAGCCATGAGCAGCTTGAGGACGACGTGTGGCTGGCATCTTTGAAGAAAACCAGCGGCGCCGGTGGAAGCAGCATGGCATCATGGTCGGCGTCCGGAGGTTTCCAAGCCGCCCTGGCAATTGCTGTGGCCGTCGTGCTTGCCGCGGCACAGGGGGGTCATCCCCGTTTCAGCTTGTTATGACCGGGCAAGGCAGGCGATTCTTCATCCCTAGGAGTGATCTGCAGAGGGTTTTTTTAGGATAAAAAAGGAGGATCAGAGCACTAGAGGAAGAGACGTGGATATCATGTTCTTTAGGCCTTTTTGCTTGTTGATAAAGAACATGACGCGTCCTCATGTTGGCAATTGTAGTTGTTCTAGTAGTGGCATTTCATATTGCTTTATTGCCTTTTTGAAAACATTGTTCTTCTGGTTGTATTCATCTTTCTGCGCAATTTTTTTGTGGGGATCCTGATCAGTGCATCGTCACTAGGAGATCGCAAGCTTTGAAGTGGGAAGACTGTAAGATCTGAATATACTATTGCTCTGCCTTCTGAGCTCCTTTTTTTTGTAAAAATCTGAAATGCCTTCTTACAAGTGAAGCATGAAGTTGACCTGTGAGTAGCAATTATGTTCGCATAGGAAAACATAAAAAAAGAAGCAACATTATGTGCAGATCCTGTTTGAGCTGTAAATCAATTTTCTGTTGTCACTGAAGTCTGAAGATATGATGTTCGGTGCTGAAAGAGAAAGAAAGCGAAAAGAGGAGGCAGTCAGGCGAAGATGTTGACTGCTGGCTGTTACTACAACTGATCATCTACTCGGAATACCAATTGGCGTTGCAGTATAATAAGCAGGGTTCCTTTTTTTTTTTTTGAGGATACGCAGGGTTCCCATTTGGCATAATACTAACAAGAGTACGTGAAGAATGACATACGTAGTAGACATATTTGATAAGGTTCCTGCATTTTCGTCCATTCGATGTTATCTATGAGCAGATCAGGCATAGGAATAGTTCTAGCCATGTCACACTTTGCCTTTGGTCTCCTCACTTCAGACGTCCATTGTTCATGTACCATCAACTGACCTTCTACGTTGATGCTACCTCTGCACTAACAAGCTGAAGGCGACGTCTCATCTTGCATCTTTTTTGTTTCATCGGCTAATGCTGGCAAATCATACTTTTGGAAGATGCAGCGGTTTATCTTAAAGTTTTTTTGTCCTGTTTCGACATCTGGTGGCCAGATTGCTTCTTTGTTTGGTTGTGATCATATTTATGCTTTTGCTTAATTAAATACACAGATGGCCGATGCTAAGGCATCTGCCGGGTGAAACTTCCATCTTTTGGATTGCAACATCAAACTCCCACATATAACTATTTTGTGTGCGCAAAATTTCTGTCAAGATCTCAAAAAATCATTCTAAGGTGTTGCAGTTCAAACATGCCCATACAGTAAAACAATTTGGGCACACACTAAATCTCTATTTTGTTGCAACAAAAACAAAAGTTGAAATGGGGGTGCAACATACTATGTGACATGAAAAAACGACGCAACTAACTAGAATACCATAGGCAACAACGAAAAAAACATATTGCAACATACTTCATCGTTCCAAATTAACTAAAATTCTAGATTTATCCGAAGGCAAACTTCCTAAGTTTAACCAAGTCTAAAAAAAGGTGTTAGCATCTGTAGAATCAAACACAAGGTGTTTATCTCTCTATAATTAAATTGTTGCAATAGCTAATTCACCAGAATTTGCATTTGAATTCGAATGTAGGAACAACTCAACATATTTTTATTCTATCATACATATCAACATATGTTCAAGAATCACAACCACCAAATTAATAGTACAGTGCAACAGTGTAGGTCACAAGTTTGACATAAACACTTAGCGCGAGCAACATTGGAGACGGTTAAAAGAACGGCAAAAGATAGTCGGTTTGTTGTCGAAGGTGAAGAAAAGGAAGACCCATATTGTACCCTCCTCCATGTGCAAGGCTTTAACAACACTAGATGACCCGTTGCGCCATTGGCGCAAAGACCAACTTGAAAGCATAAGTGCTCCCTGGGTGATTTTGGTAATTAATGTCAGCATTTCCCTTGTTGGACTAATAGTTTTATCTAGTATATTTTAGATAAGTTCAACAGTGGAGTGGCAAGGACAAGAGGATGTGAAACCCCCTCAAAATGCTAAGGACAAGGATTAGCAAAAGCTTAAGAATCTACATTTTTGTTTAAGTGATCCAAGATTGCATTGAGTTCCTAGGAAAGCCAATACTATGAAAAGGGGATGAGGTGTTGCTTAACAATCTATTTGCTCAAGTGCTTAGTGATATTGCTCCAAAACCCTCAACCACTTTCTCTACCCAAATATGTCCAAACCCTAAATTCCCAACTTGGCCACACCGATATTTCCTACTCGGAGCCACCGAGTTCATCTGGACTTAGCCACTGCCAAAACCCTAACAATTCAGTTCCACCGATATGGATATCGGTCCCACCGAGATGGCCTTGCCAACTCTCTGTGACTTGTTGCAATCAATTCAGTCCCACCGAGATGTTGCAATCGGTCTCACCGAGATGGCTTGATTGATTCTCTGTTGTCCTATTGTTTCACTTCGGTCCCATCGAGATGGCCTTGCCAGCTCTCTATGACTTGTTGCAATCAATTTGGTCCCACCGAGATGTTGTAATCGGTCTTGCCGAGATGGCTTGACTGATTCTTTGTTGCCTTATTGTTTCACTTCGGTCCCACCGGGATGATGCAATCGGCACCACCGAGATGAGGTTTGCCCCAAGCCCCAGCACATCGGTCCCACCGAGTTGTTTCCTGCGGTCCCACCGAGATTCCTAACGTTCATATTTTTACACAGATTGGTGCCACCGAGTTTTCTAAGCGGTGCCACCGAGATGGGTCAAAAGTGTGTAGCGGTTGGATTTTGTGTGGAGGCTATATATACCCCTCCACCCCTCTTCCTCATGGAGAGAGCCATCAGAACATGCCTACACTTCCACCATTCATTTTCTGAGAGAGAACCACCTACTCATGTGTTGAGATCAAGAGTTTCCATTTCTACCATTTGAACCTTGATTTCTAGCCTTCCCCAAGTTGCTTTCCACTCAAATCCTTCTTCCACCATAGCCAAATCTGTGAGAGAGAGTTGAGTATTGGGGGACTATCATTTCAAGCACAAGAGCAAGGAGTTCATCATCAACACACCATCTTTTTCCTTTTGGAGAGTGATGTCTCATAGATTGGTTAGGTGTCCCTTTGGAGCCTCCGACATGATGTGGAGTTGAACCAAGAAGTCTGTAAGGGCAAGAAGATCGCCTACTTCGTGAAGATCTAACCGAGTGAGGCAGGTCCTTCGTGGACGATGGCCATGGTGGGATAGACAAGGTTGCTTCTTCATGGGCCCTTTGTGGGTGGAGCCCTCGGTCGACTCGCGCAGCCGTTACCCTTTGTGGGTTGAAGTCTCCATCAACGTGGACGTGCGATAGCACCACCTATCGAAACCACGCCAAAAATTCTCCGCGTCTCCATTGCGTTTGCACACTCCAATCCGATCCCTTTACATTCTTGCACTTGCATGCTTTACTATTTCTGCTGCTCATACTCTTGTTATGTTTGTGTAAAATGTATTGTGTGCCCTTTAACATGTGCTAAACTCAACCTTAACTTGAAGAAACTAAAAACTGCCACTTTTACTTGTTAAGGGTCTAATCTCCCCCTCTAGACCCCTCTTCTCGATCCTTTCAATTGATATCAGAGCATTGGTCTTCGTTCCTTTGGTTTAATCACCATTGGAGGGAGATGGACGAGTCTACGGTTGGATGTATTAGACATAGAGTGCCTATTCTTGATGGGGAGTTTTATGGTTCTTGGAAAAATAAGATGCTTGAGATTTTCAATTAATACAATTTGAACAAGTATATTCTTAGCCCTTATGTGTCTCCCATTGATCCTTTGCATCCTACCCCCGATGAGTATCTTGACATGGTTCACAATCTTAGGACTGTTAATCTTATCATTAGAGGATTGCCTAGAAATGTGCTTGTTTGCTTGCCAACCTTTGAATGCGCATATACTATATTGAATTATCTTGAGGAACGCTTTCAAATTACTCTTTGAAAAATCTGAATGAAATTCTTCAAAAGTCCATTGCTTTCCATAAGATGAAGCCTAAGGATCCCAAGTTCGATGAATGTCTATTTGATCTCCGTGATCTTATGCGTGCCAAGGGTGATGATGGAGCCATTAGTAGCATCATCACGGAAACCATTAGAATTCACAAGCTTGCACATTGTCATGGTCATATGTCTAATGAATCACTTGAACTAGGTGATGACTACACACATGACGATGATGATGACATTGAGCATGGCTATTATGACGATGACGAAGAATTTGACATAGAATGTGAGAAGACTATGAGGAATCTTAGTCTCATGGCGAATCTTCGAAATTACATATATGGAGGAAAAGAGTGGATTCTTGATAGTGGATGTACTGATCACATGACCGGAGATAAAGACATGTTCTATGAGCTTGCCAAAAATGATGGTCCACGCAAGTATGTGACTTTTGGAGACAACTCCAAGGGAAAACAAGTTGGAGGAAGTCATCCCGTGAAGAACATCATGACCACGAGAAGGCCACTTGAGCTACTTCACATGGACCTCTTCGGTCCCAATGCTTACAAAAGTCTTAGTGGTAACTCTTTTGGTTTGGTCATTGTTGATGCTTTTTTCCAGATTTACGTGGGTGTTCTTTCTTGATGAAAAATCCCAGGTCCAAAATATCTTCAAGAACTTCACTAAGAAGGCCCAAAATCAATTTGAAGTGAAGATCAAGAAGGTTCGAAGTGACAATGGAACGGAGTTCAAGAACGCTAATGTGGGTACCTTTTTTGACGAAGAAGGGATTTCACATGAGTTCTCGGTTACGTACACACCTCAACAAAATGGAGTTGTTGAGAGGAAGTACCGGACTCTTATTGATATTGCGAGAATGATGCTTGATGAATAAAAGACACCAAGACACTTTTGGGCGGAAACAATTGAGACAGCTTGTCATGCTACAAATCGACTATATCTTCACAAGCTTCTTGGCAAAATGGCATACGAGCTACTCACCGGTAACAAACCCCAAGTTGGATACTTTTGATTATTTGGATCAAATTGCTACATTCTTGA